ATAGGAAAGAGTAGGAGGAATTTCAAGAGTAATGCGAACCCTTCTAAAAAAAAGCTTTCAGTTTATGCATATCTTTCAAAAAAACCACAGGTAATAACAGAGCAAACTGTCTCCTTGTTTATTATATCCTTGCTGTTTACAGGGCCTTGTGTATGAAAATTCGCCACTGTTTTTTCAGCACAAGTTACAGCTAGCAAACATCACAAAACCAACTAAGCAAATCAGTTAAACTATTTTCTCATTTATTTGACTCTGCTTGTTTATTTCAAACCCACAAGAGTACATTTAAAATAAATGTATTAAGTAATTTACCAGAAACATTAGCTTTTGATTCTTAGAAAACGTGTCCAAGAAAATTTTCCCCTCGCACAGGTGTCTGATAGAGGTCTCGGTGTTAATTCTGTTTCATTTCTGCAACTTGCATCATGTATACAACTTTCATGGAGTGCACCATGCACCCTTGTCATGGTGCACGTGCCAGTTCTGCTGCACATCAACTCTTAAAATGCAGCGACAGGAGCACTGATGCTCTACTTGACATCCACCCTGTCAAAACCTTTAATTTTCATAGGTTACTGCTAAGTGTTCGTTTTTCCAGTGAACAGAGTCCAAGCCTATTCAGTTTTTGTTCTATTTATGTATGACCTGTTGTATGACCTCAAAATACAATGTTTGAGACATTACTGAGCCACTTTAAATGGAAAGTTTCCTTCTCAGCTATAAAGATCACATGGAAAACAGAACAATCCCCGTTTGTGTGAGAAAAAAATCCACTAATCGTCATAACTATAGGTTCATTATTTGGAAATTTGTGAAATTGATTTCCAAATTAATCTACGATGGTGCTGGTCTTCTTCAAGAGATTCTGAAGAATTTTTAAAATACTTGAATAGGTTACTGTTGTTCTTTGAATGTTAATTTACAGCAGGGAATCATCACTTGATGGATGAAGTATCAATTCTATAGGTAGCCAGTTATCACTTGTACCTTCAGATTAAATAATAACTGCTCGATGGCTCTAAGCTTATGCAGCTGTGGAACTCCAACAATTATGTCAAGGGTTTCATTGGAAGATGCACACCAAACTCACTGCAGAAAGGAATCTAAACATTTTTATGCAATGGACAGGTGTTCAAAACTAAAATAAGCAAAAAACATAAAAGGCAAAATACCCAATAAATTGATCTTTCTAATTTAACAGAATAAATATTTAGCAGAATAAGTGAACAGGATGAATAAATTTGAGATAATTGTGATGTAAAAATGGTAAAAAAAATTGCAACATGCTGCTGTGCAGAGGGTCCTGGGTGTCCTTGTGCATGAAGTGCAAAAGGTTGGTTTGCAGGTGCAACAGGTAATTAAGAAAGCAAATGGAATTTTGTCCCTCATTGTGAGGGGCATTAAGTTTAAAAGCAGAGAGGTTCTGTTACAGCTGTATAGGGTGCAGGTGAGGCCACACCTGGAGTACAGCGTACAGTTTTGGTCTCCTTACTTGAGAAAGGATGTACTGGTAGCGGAGGGGGTGCAGAGCAGATTCACTGGTGCAGGTTGATTCTGGAGTTGAGTGGGTTGGTTCATGAAGGGAGACCGAGTAGCCTGGGATCTCCTCATAGGAATTTAGAAGAATGAGGGGGGATCTTATAGAAACATATAAAATTATGAAGGGAACAGCTAAGATAGAAGCAGGGAGGATGTTTCCACTGGCAGGTGAAACTAGAACAAGAGGGCATAGCCTCAAAATTAGGGGAAGCAGATTTAGGGCTGAATTGAAGAGGAACTTCTTCACCCAAAAGGGTTGTGAATCTGTGGAATTCCCTGCCCAGTCAAGTAGTTGAGGCTTCCTCATTGAATGATTTTAAAGCTAAGATAGATAATTTTTGAACAGTAAAGAATTAAGGGTTATGGTGAAAGGTGAGTAAGTGGAGCTGAGGCCACAAAAAGACCAGCAATGATCTTATTGAATGGCGCAGCAGGCTCAAAGGGCCAGATGGTCTACTCCTGCTCCTGGTTCTTATGTATTTCTATGGAAAAATGAATGAGGACTGTAGTGAGAAGGTGTAATTTGCTTACTAAAAGAGTCCCATGCTTTTCAGAGTTCCCACAGACCTTCTCTGTCCATCAGAATTATTTATGGTGACTTTAAGGATTTTAGCACAAATATCATAACTGCACATTCAAGTCCTTTCATAATCTATTCCCATCTTTCTTTTCCATCAGCCCTCCACCCAACCCTGGAAGCCAGATGCTTTTACACCAAGGCCATTACCCAATCTCTCACTGACTCAATTTGAGCTGCTTTTGCAGATTTTCTCCTTCCTAACTTAGTTGAATGCTGGCTTAAGAATTTGGTTTATTGAAAGTAATGTAACACCAAGTGTTTCTTTTCATTGCATAATAAATGTTGTTAAGCCACTCAAGTCTGAGTTTTTTTTTATTCACTTACAGATGTGGGTGTCACTGATTAGGCCAGCATTTATCAACGGTTTCTAATCATCTTGGAGAAAGCAGTGGTGAGTTCCGTTCTTGAACTGCTGCAGTTCCTAAGGTCGAGGGACATCCATGATGCTGTTAGGAAGGGAATTCCAAAATTTTGACTCAACAACAGTGAAGGAACAGCGACATAGTTCCATATTCGGATGGTGTCTAGCTTGTAAGGGAAATTGGAGAAGCTCCTATGCATCTTCACTCTGGTTCCTTTGTATGGGACAGATTGAGAGCTTGGAAGATGCTGTCAGATGAACCTTTTGAGTGTTTACTGCAGTGCATCAATGCTTGCAGATGAGATGAATAGATTTGCATAAAAAATATTATTTTTCAGTCTAAACCTCCTCCACCAATCTCTCCCCTATTTCATTCCACTGAAACCAGCTCAGCAGGATATTTTGTACAGTGTGATAAAGCTGGTCAATGACAGAAACAATGAAGAAACGGAAGAAATGTAAAGCAGAACGACTGCAATTATCACTCAGCTGTAAATAAAACGCAAATCTGCTTTAAAAATTAGGATGAAAAGTAGGACAAAGCTACCACACTACAAAAAATACAACTTGACACAGGTGGAGGAAAAGATACAAATTCTGTTTTGTTTTCCAAAACATACAATTTTCCAACATGTTTTGGATATGTGTAGCACTTTACTGCACTACAGACCCCACACCTGCGCCTATTACCAATGCTCCACAGAAATAAACTAGTGCTTCAGGCTCTTGACTGATTTCCAAATATAGCTCAGCACTCAATAAACTGTAAACATGTCTTGAAAACTCCACCACAGGCTAACTCGTCATATGTCCAGCACAGGATCAAATGAGTTGATAGGTAAAGAGTCAACAGGGAGCTAGTTCCCTTCACATGGATTTGCTATTAGAGAGCTGAGCAGCAGTATGACTCCTCAGATTGAAAATAAATAACTGCACTATGCTGTCAAAAACGTTTGGGCTTCAATATCTCAAAAGACACATCTTCCACTTCCAAAAGAGAATACAGTATAGAATCAATAATACATGTGCACTCAGAGTTTCCTTAGCTTCTAGTAGCATTCCGAATGCAATGAGCTGAAACCTGAACAGGATCACTAGAGGAGCGAGCTTGAAATGCCACAGGGTGTAACAGGAAAGTTTCCTCAACAGACATTCGCTCCAGACTTACATGCCAGCATTGTAATGCTAGACAATTGTAAAGTACAAGAAATTACATCTATTGACTTCTATTTGCCAACATAAATTACAGGTTAACTAAGTTTAGCACAGACCAGCCCTGGCTGTAAAATTCATCATTTTATCAATCACAGCCTGTAGCAAGATATTTTTTGATGTGGCAACTGGAAACTGAGGCTATGTTTAATAAAACACAAATCACAACACTGCAAAAGAACACTAAAAAAAAACACAAGTCTCAACTTTTATTTTCCATCTCTCCTTTTATGTGGCCCTGTTTGATAGGGTTGTTGAGTAGCTATATCGCACGGTTTCTCAATGTTGCTAAAGAACTGATTGCTAGAAAGTTCAATGTGTTAACTGTTCACCAGAGACATGAAAAAAGCTGGTAGCTGAGAAATGAGTGGAAGACAGAATGTCTAACATGGTGTTTCATTCAAATCCATTTACAAGATTGCAGTGATTTTAAAACAAGTAGTGCAGTGTGTGTGAAACAGTAAGTTTCATGCATTGTCAGTGGAGGGACACCGTCAGGTATCAGCTTTTAATGTTTAACATTTATCAAGTTCATCATATGAAATACTGACCATTCCAATCAAGGCGTTTCAGGTTTGGTGAACAGTTTCAGTGAAGATCAAATGGTGTAGCATTTTTTTTGAGGGGTGTACAGAAGAAGGGGGAGGAGGGTAAGATTCTTGCCTGTAATTGCTAACCATTATCTCTGCTGACAGGTCCATTGATGGATGTCACCAGAACATGATCAGGCTCTGCTGCAATAATTTCAAACATCTGACCTGCATTGTCCTGGTTTAATTCTGAAGAATGACTGTAAATAAAAGGTCATGGAAGGGAGTGGATGCTGATCTAACCAAATCCAGCAGCAGGAGCAGAGATTTTATTTTAAAAGGAGAGAAATATATTAAAACTTGATATCTGTGTTCCTCTATTGTTTCACACATCCTGCACAGTTTCAGTTTTAAAATCACTGCAACCATTTAGACAGGTTTGAACAAGATATCAGGCTAGACATTCTGTCTTCCACTTAATTCTCAGCTACCAGTTTTATTTTGTCTGATATTTATCAGCCACTTTAGACAGTAATTCTGTGTTGATAGATGAACTGCAAATTTTTTAAAACATGTATATTTCCCATAATGGTTCACAGTTTTAGTGATAAGCAAGCGCAGACCCAGTGTTCACTGGGTACAGGTTTTTCAAAGACAATCTGGAGTATTTTACACCAGTATACCTTCTGCATTGTCCAGTTTTTAGCTGCATGAAATGCGAGTGTTCTGTTTAAAACTACCTGCACAGCAACCATCAGATTTCTAGATAATTCCTTACCTTTTCCATCTGTAGCTGACGCTTCTTGCAAATGTCTAATTGACCTGTAAGTGGAATGATGAATAACAATTAGAGTGCACTTAATTTGACACTGCAGCATTTTCCACAAGCTTAAGTTCATGGACAAACTTAACCAAATCAAGAGACTTCAATTTTATGTACTTGCAATTTTCACCAAGGATACGTAAACTACACTTTAAGATTAATCTAATGAATGGACAAGTGACTACACTAGTTTTTATATACATTAAAACTCAACAATTAAGCGATACAATCTCACATTACTAACAGTGACTTCTGAAGAAATCTCCCATAAATTCACTATTGTTGCATCAATTGCCCCATGAGATAACAAAGTGCAGAGCTGGATGAACACAGCAGGCCAAGCAGCATCAGAGGAGCAGGAAGGCTGACGTTTCGGGCCTAGACCCTTCTTCAGAAATTGGGGAGGGGAAGGGGGTTCTGAAATAAATAGGGAGAGAGGGGGAGGCGGATAGAAGATGGATAGAGGAGAAGATAGGTGGAGAGGAAACAGACAGGTCAAAGAGGTGGGGATGGAGCCAGTAGAGGTGAGTGTATGTGGGGAGGTAGGGAGGGGATAGGTCAGTCCAGGGAGGACGGACAGGTCAAGGGGGCGGGATGAGGCTAGTAGGTAGGAGATGGGGGTGGGAGGAAGGGATAGGTGGGAGGAAGGACAGGTTAGGGAGGCGGGGACGAGCTGGGCTGGTTTTGGGATGCGGTAGGGGGAGGGGAGATTTTGAAACTTGTGAAGTCCACATTGATACCATTGGGCTGCAGGGTTCCTAAGCGGAATACGAGTTGCTGTTCCTGTAACCTTCGGGTAGCATCGTTGTGGCACTGCAGGAGGCCCAGGATGGACGTGTCGTCTGAGGAATGGGAGGGGGAGTTGAAATGGTTCGCGACTGGGAGGTGCAGTTGCTTAGTGCGAACCAAGCGTAGGTGTTCTGCAAAGCAGTCCCCAAGCCTCTGCTTGGTTTCCCCGATGTAGAGGAGGCCACAACGGGAACAGCGGATGCAGTATACCACATGAACAGATGTGCAGGTGAACATCTGCTTGATGTGGAAAGTCTTCTTGGGGCCTGGGATGGGGGTGAGGGGGGAGGCGTGGGGGCAGGTGTAGCACTTCCTGCCGTTGCAGGGAAAGTGCCAGGTGTAGCGGGGCTGGAGGGGAGTGTGGAGCGGACAAGGGAGTCACGGAGAGAGTGGTCCCTCTGGAAAGCAGATAAGGGTGGGGAGGGGAAAATGTCTTTGGTGGTGGGGTCGGATTGTAGATAGCGGAAGTGTCAGAGGATGATGCATTGGATCTGGAGGTTGGTGGGGTGGTACGTGAGAACGAGGGGGATTCTGTTTTGGCTGTTATTGCGGGGAAGGGGTGTGAGGGATGAGTTGCGGGAAATGCGGGAGACATAGTCGAGGGCGTTCTCGACCGCTGAGGGGGGGAAGTCACGGTCCTTGAAAAATGAGGACATCGGAGATGTACAGGAGTGGAATGCCTCATCCTGGGAGCAGATGCGGCAGAGACGAAGGAATTGGGAATAGGGGATGGCATTTTTGCAGGAAGGTGGGTGGGAGGAGGTGTATTCTAGGTAGCTGTGGGAGTCGGTGGGCTTGAAATGGATATCGGTTTCTAGGTGGTTGCCAGAGATGGAGACAGAGAGGTCCAGGAAGGAGAGGGAAGTATTGGAGATGGTCCAGGTGAACTTAAGGTTGGGGTGGAAGGTGTTGGTGAAGTGGATGAACTGTTCGAGCTCCTCGTGGGAGCACGAGGCAGCGCCGATACAGTCATCAATGTAACGGAGGAAGAGGTGGGGTTAAGGGCCAGTGTAGGTACGGAAGAGGGATTGTTCCACGTAACCTACGAAGAGGCAGGCATAGCTTGGGCCCATGCCGGTACCCATGGCCACCCCCTTTGTCTGTAGGAAGTGGGAGGAATTAAAAGAGAAGTTGTTGAGGGTGAGGACGAGTTCGGCTAAGCGGATGAGGGCGTCAGTGGGGGGGGACTGGTCGGGCCTGCACGACAGGAAGAAGCGGAGGGCCTTTAGGCCATCTGTATGGGGAATGCAGGTGTATAGGGACTGGACGTCCCTATTGCCCCATGTTTTGTTTAAGGAAATCGACAGGGAGAAGGGCAAGGCAACTTTTCTTCCAATCAATCTATCAACTTTTGTTTGGGAAACTGCAGAATCACTGTTGTGTGCTGTGCCTGACACCTATACAGGCTGACTGTCTGGTACTCCCACGTGCTTAAGAAATGTCAGCATCCATCTTGACTACACAGCAATGTTTAGATTAGTGTGGGTCTGGGTACTAATAAGTTAGGCTATGGTTCATATCTTCATCCTTGACCATAGTGTGGATGTTAGACCCTGACTTGGTTAAAGCTTCCTGCGTTTCTGACTCCTGATGTCTTAATTTGTACATGAAGAATGCATACTTCAGAAAATACCAAAGGTTTGTTCCCATGTGAACTAGTACTTTTCAAGATAAGAAGGTCTGTGGAGACCAAGTGGAAAACAGGCTATGAGAGAAGAGGCAAGAAACCGAGCTGCGTTTTCAGCTTTTTGGGTGTACTTGAGCCTTAGCAGAACAGTAGAAGAGTTAACTCGACTTGAATTATTGATTTTCCTGCATGACAACTCAAAATATTCTGCGGACTATATTTTCTAATCGATTCTGGGGGTGGGCAGTCTGGAAAGGTAAGGTGACATTTTGACCTTTCCTAGCTCACCCAAGGCACAATTCATCATGTCCACCAGCCAAATGACCTAACCCAAAATTAAGTCATTGCCACTCTTACCACACAACAGGGAACAGAATGGCACCACAACACAGGAGGTCAACAAGAAAGAGGATCTCTTTCCACAGTCCATATTCTGTCGTCCCTTCTTCTGTCGATTCAATAATGATGTAAGCGACATTAGCAAGGACCTAGTGAACAAAGCAGTGTTACTAACAGACAACTTCTGCAACAGGGGAAAATGTTTTTCTCTTCACAACATATTCTTGGACCAGGTAACAAGTCAAGATCTGCATATATTTAATTCAGCTGCAGAAAGCGACTGGGTTTGGATCACTTATTCAGTGGTGCTGGGGCAGTTGGGAAGATGACTAAAACCTGAAGAAGGACTGAGGCTCCGAAAGCTTACGTTTTCAAATAAACCTGTTGGACTATAATCTAGTGTTGTGTGATTTCTGACCTTGTCCACCCAAGTCCAACACTGGCACCTTCACTTGCGGGAAAATGAGGGAGAGCAGGAGGGAAAAGGAAAGAAAAAAAAATTGCATCCATTGTGAAGTTTATCAATGCCAAGCACTCCCTGATCAGGTACAAATAGACAATATGTAGTTTTGCAGTCGTGATACAAGACCACACTTGAGATCTCACAGCACCCTCTAGTGGGTCAATGACATATTTGCACTTCTTAAAGTTTCCAAATAACAGCTATTTTGGCCACTTTTTACTAGGGGTCCACAAGTGCAGGAGTTAGGGCAAGATTATAATCAAAAAATTTCAAACGAGATCATTAAAACCAGACAGGGGCAGAGGGTGTCCTATTCCATCAATCTGGTGCTCAATTTCAAACATCAAAGGGGTGCATGGTCATGGTGAGGTGGAAAGTGATGACAAGGGTAATGCTACGTTTGTTTGGGAGGGAGGGGAACGGTGAGAGCAAATGGGGCAGAAATGGGTTGGAGATAGCTCAGAGCCCTGTCAACCAGGGTGGAAAGGAATTCTAAGTTGAGGGAAAAGGAGGTCATGTTCAGTCACCACTGTGGAAGGTGGCACCATTGAAACAGATGTGACAGAGAAATTGGGAGAACAGAATGGAGCTTTTGCAGAAAGGTGTGAGGAAGTGTAGTCGAGGTCAGTTTTTTTTGATATAGGTGGACATTCTACCCCCAGAAACAGAGATGTCAAAGACGGGAAGAGTCATAGATGGTCTGGGACAATGTGTGAAGGATGGAAATTGGCAGCAAAATTAATTTGTTCAATTCCAGATGAGAAAAGGAAGCAGCACTGATGATGTCATCAGCTGTGTGTTATGTGCATGACAAACTCCCTAAGACACACCTACAATTGGACCCATCTGTTCCACTTGCTCTTTCTTTGTCAACAACCCATTCCATTCCAAAGAAGGGTCTTATTGAACTTGAAACATTAGCTCTGTTTCTTACTTCACAGATGCTGCCAGACTTGCTAAAGTTCTCCAGCGCTTTCTCTTTTTATTCCAGCAATTAAAGTCCATGGCTTAAAACAAAACTGTTCCTACTACTGTTCGTACATAACTTCTCTCAATTACTCACATCCTTTAGAACACTCATTTTTTTCATGCTTAGGCAACCCTCTCTGACTGGGAGGGCCAAGTTAGCTACATTTTAGTGCCGCTGTCAATGCTGTTCTTGCTGAAGTTACTAACGGCACTCTTAAGGACATTATTGAAGACTCCATCAAAAAACATACATAGATGCCAGCAATTCTCTATCTCTTAAACAGGTAGACAAAACTGGGGTGGTATCGGCACAGAACAATGCACAACAGACTGCAAATACACTACATAACCGTTTACCAGGTTCAAGACATGAGTAAACTTAAATGCCCAACACATGAATTTATCATTTTCCAACACCAATCCTTCCCCCTGCAAACCCCAGGATACTATTTCCTACTTCAACTCCGTGAAACACAATGCCACCATCAGCCTTTCAATCCTGTTACGATTTATCTGGCATCCAGTTATTAATACTTCATTTACTGCATCCTTGGCTATGAGGAAAGAGCAGGAGTGGGAATTATCTGATAGCTTTTTAAAGGTGTCAACAAACGCAAGAAGGGCTGAATGACCTCTTTCTCTAATGGATCATTTTACAATTTACTAAGGGCGGTACAGTGGCTCAGTGGTTAGCACTGCAGCCTCACAGAGCCAGTGACCCGGGTTCAATTCCTCCCTCGGGTGACTGTGTGTGGAGTTTGCACATTCTCCCTGTGTCTGCATGGGTTTCCTCCGGGTGCTCCGGTTTCCTCCCACAGTCCAAAGATGTGCAGGCTAGGTGGATTGGCCATGCTAAATTGCCCATAGTGTTCAGGTGTAGATTAGGTGGGTTATGGGGGATAGGTCTGGGTGGAATGCTCCAAGGGTCAGTGTGGACGTGTTGGGCTGAAGGGCCTGTTTCCATACTGTAGGGATTCTATGATAATTCCTCTTCTATTCCTTTTAAATATTGCATCCCATACAATGGACACTGACCCTTCAAGCTCTCTCTCCGAAATTACCAAGCTTCATCCATGAAGTTCGTTTCAAGATTTTTAAAAGCCCACATCGAGACCAAGGTCTCATGCTTATTTTTCAGATTTTCGCAGCGAAATAAATGAAAAACATTTACATGCAGACAAATGACAAATGCATGTAGACTGTGAATATTGCAGTAGAGACAATACGCAGCTGCATTGTTCTTTACCTGGAGTGGAATAACTATCATAAAGATTTTCTTGTCTTTGTCAGAGAGGATGTGTTTAACGAATGCCCAGCCAGTTCCGATTAGCGAAATTGTAATGAACAACAGAGCACCCTTCAACCTTGCAAAAAAAAGGATAAGCATACAGCATTAGGAAAGAGGAGGATTCAAGGACAGTCAATGGCAAAGACGTTTCCTTGGATGTAACGGTGTCAGTGAGAGTTACAGCTGTCAATGCAAAATGAAGCATAAATGATGCTTTTTATTTAATTGGATACCCAGAGCTCTAACCATTTGACTTCCAGAAGATAGTTACCAAATGGAGTACTTGGTTGCAGACAATGAAACCAGCCTCTTATTGAGTAGGAAGTGGTAAATACTTAGCTGTGATTAAAAATACTTGCACTTATATGGAGCTTTATCATGCTGACAAAATGTTTCAAGCACTTCAGTAATCAAGGTGAACAGTTCGCAAAATGTTGCCTTGAAATCGTTGAGCTTAAAGATTCATAATTTATTATCTGCATTGCAGTTTCCCCATGACATGCAAAAAGGAAGAGCAAATTATCTGCACTCTCACCTCCACCAACACACTCTCTAAAACTGACTACAAAAATATATGCAACTTCTGGGTAATCCTTTCTCTTGTTCTTCTTGCCTACTAACTCTGGTGAGAGTAGCTTAGGAGCAACAGAAGCTGATGATATGGAGAAATACAGAGCAAAATCTACATAGTTCAATCTGAGCAGAAGGTTTGACCTATTTATCATCAGAACCACTGCTGTTATATTTCTTTCTAAAATCATATTACCAAATGGACGTCCTGAGCACAAGGCTTATTGTGCCAAAGGTTAAATGGATAATGGTACTTAAACCATCAGCAACACTGTCAAACACCCTACAAGGATGCTGGTCCTGTTGTTGTCCAGAGTAACCCAGTATAGGTCCCACCATCCCCAGAAACAGTCCCACTGATCCCAGATCTGAAGCCTTTCGCTCTGCACCAACTGTACTCACTAGTCTGTGGCACCATGGGAATAATTCAGAGATTATCAAACTTTGAAGTCCTGCCTTTCAATCTGGCAGCTAGCTCCTTAAATTCTTGTAGCGGAAAGAATCATCCTTCCTTCTACCTATGCTATCAGTACTAATATGAACCAAGACCTCTTGACTGTTTGCCCTCCTCTCCAGAATGTCCTATAGCTATTCAGGCCATTAACCTAGCCGTGGGGAGGCAACATACCACCCTGGAATCATGCCTCCAGCTGCAGAAATGCCTGCCAGTATCTTTCACTATTGAATCTCCTACTGCTGTAGCTCTTCTTTTCTGTCTGCTTCCACCTTGGGCAACTGGACTCTGAGTGCCCTCCCCAGAGGGCATCACAGAAAAACCGTTTGAAGTAAAATACACTCTAGGGCTTTCCAGATCGGCTGCTTCCTTTCATCCATTCCTTCCTTGACTGTACTTCTTTAAGCTGTGGCATGACCTCGTCTAGAAATGCACCTTCCATGCAACTCTCAGCCAATGTTGCAGTGCTGTGCCTATAGCCAAAGCTCAAGCTCCAAAGCCTGGATGATCAAACCAGTGGTATCGCCTGCAGAGTAGTCATCCAGGCTGCAAGGAGCATTTCAGATTTCCCACATTTAGCAGGCTGTGCAGCACAAGTGACTGAGCACACCTGCCATGTTTTTAATTATAAAAAAAAATTCTTACCCTAAATTTAACCCAAGTAGAAATTTAATCAGGTTATTTTATTTTTAAAAATTGGAGCCCTTACCAAAAGGCCGTAAGACAACAAGATTTAGGAGCAGAATTAGGCCATTCAGCCCATCAAGCCTGCAACCACTTTTCAATCGTGACCGATAGATTTTTCAACCCCATTCTCCTGCCTTCTCCCCGTAGCCCTTGATCCCCTTCCTAATCAAGAACCTGTCTATCAGTCTGAAATACACTTAACGACTTGGCCTCCACAGCCAGAGTCCTCAACTGCTCCTTATCTGACAAGCCCTTCACCCCCCGGGATTATTCCTGTAAAACTCCTCTGGACACACTCCAATGCCAGCACATCTTAGAGGTCCAAGATTGCTCACAATATTCCAAATGCAGTCTGACCAAAGTTTTACACCGCTTCAGCAGCTGTTGTCTAGTCCTCTTGAAATGAATGCTGACATTGTGTTTGCCTTCCTAACTGAAAGTTAACCTTAGGAGAATTCTGAACTAGGTCTTCAAAGTTCCTTTGTGCTACAGATTTCTGATGTCTTTCCCCATTTTAAAAAATAGTTTATGCCTCTATTCTAACCAAAGTGCATAACCTCACACTTTCCTAACATTGTATGCCATTTGCCATTTCTTTGCTCACTCTCCTAGCCTGTCCACGTCATTCTGCAGCCTTTAAGCGTCCTCAACACTACCTGCCCTCCACCTATCTTTGCATCATCTGCAAATTTAGCAACAATTCCCCCAGTTCCTTCATCCAGATCATTAACGTAAACAGGAATAGTTGTGGTCCCAGTATAGACTCTTGCAGAACTCCACTAGTCATCGACTGGCACCCTGAGAAAGACTCCTCTATCCCCACTCACAGCCTTCTGCCAATCAGCCAGTCCTCTATCCGTGCCAATACCTTTTTCCCTAACACCACGGGCTCTTATCTTATTTAGCAGCCTTCTGAGCAGCACCTTGTCAAAGGCCTTCTGGAAACTGAATTCTCCTTGGCACCTGGCAAACAGTTGATTGAAACTATAGCATTCTTCTTGTTGTCACACATGTCGCTTGAAAACTACATCCTGGCAGAAGGATGTGCACAACATTCTCAACAGTTTTGGCACATAGAACTAACTGCCTAAAACTATAAGGAAGTGCTAAACCTGAAATGAAAACAGGAAATTCTAGAAACACACAATGGATCTGCCAGTACCAGGAAAGATAAACAGTTAAAATACCAGGTGTAGACTTTTGTCAGAACTCATCAAGGTAGTTTTGATGAAAGGTCTACGCAAGAAATGTTTATCTTCCTGCTGTAGGACTTGCAGTGCATTTCCAGTATTTTGCTTTTGGAATACTAAGCATTATCAGTCAATGCATGCATTTCTTTGAAGTTTAGGATCATGTGAAAATTCTCTACAGTATATTACATTACATTACATTACATGAAATATTCTACCCTTCATCAGGGTATTTTTTATTTGGATCCATTTGTAGATAACAAGAGCGATGAATAAAACTGAATACAGTTTTATTGAAACTGATTTTCTCATTTAGATTTCCCTGGTGAGTGAAACTCAGGAGAGTAGGACTGGCTCGCATGGTTCAGTCAAAGTCTCTATAAAATTGGACTCAAGGAGGAGTACATGAATAATTTGGGGTCATGGCATCTTGAAATGTCCCCACGAGCAAACAATTCCATTCGCCTCCAACTGGACGTACTTTGTTCCAGAGAAGCAGAGGCACAAAATATAGTGCATATGAATTTGTTTGTTTGGACCCGCATTCCACAGTTCCATGATGTGCTATTGACCATTTTGGCGCATGATATATCAGTTTATGAATTGCTATAGTCTTTCAATTATTCCTTTTCTTTTTTTGTAGTTTTTAGCGATTTGTTCCAGAAACACTTTTCAAAAGGGACAATGTGATAATTTACTTACAAGTGAGTTATGTAGTATACCACAGCCCAACCTTCAATAGGATAACCCTGAGTTGATATAAAGTGATAATCAATCTGTTGGAAGAGAAAAGAAAAAAGAACATTAATGTCACTTGAATGATCACGTTGGGAAGAACTATAAATTTCTTTAATGGACAATTTCTGTCCAATCTCTTTGCACACATTACCTCTCCACTCACTTTTGCACCTCAGCACTCTTAGTGGAGTTTGGAGGTCTCAGCCCTCCGTTATTGTTTTTGGGAGTTGGCTGCAAGAAAGAACTGCAGAAAAGTTTTCTCTATGTAATATTTAACCCCAGAACTACTATTAAGTAGCAAAATTATTGAATAATGCTTTATAATAAATGTTGAAAATCCAAAAATAATCAGTTTTGCACAGCTTAAATGAAGAATTTTGCATGGGCTAAGTTATAAAAGTCATTATAAATATGGATTATGCAATTTCTATTTTTAAGGTTCACGAAGCTTCATCTGAATGGACAGTGCCCCTTATAATTGCTTAACGAGATAATTTTAGTCAACTTATTCAGACATGATATGACATGCTCCTGGAGCAGGTGGCACATTCTGGAACCCATGCCTCCTGGCTCAGAGGTTCGAACACCATCACTGTCCCACAAGAATCACATTGAACTAAGCCCACATATACATCAGCAGTAACAAAAATTTGATCTCAGTCAGCTACAGCTTTTTAAAATCTCTTGGGTACTGATGACAATGAAGGCGAACAATCAATTCAAACTTGTACCACTGCAGAAAGCTTTATGAATATTTCTATTTCTTTTGTGGATAAATGCATACAGATATGTTGATTCCTGTTAAATTTAAGGTACCTGCAGCAACCAGTCTTCAGATCTAAGTATTGCAGTTCAGCTGGAAAAGATGTTGTGGTCTTCTGTAAGATTATTGATGCTATTACCCATTGAGCCAACATGGGCAAATGGCACTCAAGGTTTCTTCTCTCTTTCTCAATCTCCTACAGACTCCAACTATTCTTTAATGATGTCGGTATTATGGAGGTTGATGCTCAAACAAAAATCTATGATGCATGATTGCTGCTCTTCCCAGTTTTATATTGTTTATGTACCTTTGACTTTGACAGACACCAAGTGGTACCCCAACACATGGAGCTTTCTACTGTCTTTCAGCAGCATTACACAGGAGTCCCCAAGATTTTGAATGAGAGCAATGTTTGAGATATGGAATTTGCATTATTTACATTAAATAGCATTTTTGGTAGCAAAAAGGTGGGAAACAGGGTTTACATCTGTTGCCAAAACCCAAGAATCAGACCACAGGATCCAAACAAACAATTTAATTAGTCAGCTACAGCTTTTTAAAATCAGAACTAAGCCCACCTCCACAACAAAATTCATGAAACTGTTTATCAGGGGATCATAGTGCGAACAAGGAATGAGCTAACATTGCCAGAACATTTAGCTTAAACCAGAAGCTTCACAGTAAGCTAAACATTATGTTGCAGGTAGGACTGGCAATCATCACACATAATAATGTTTTTGAAAAGTACTTAATGACAACAATGCTATATCAGGTTGATGATGGGGCTGTTAAGTATTTCCGAGCACATGAGGATTAGCAGTCAGAATGAGAACACTGTATAAATACAGATAGAACTCTCAGGTTGTATAACACCAACACTAATGATACATCTTAATTGTTCTACTGTAACAAATGTATGAATATCAAAGGAAATTACTTTTATTGCATGATTTTAAACAAAAGCTGCAGTAATACCCCCTCTTACCCTATTAGACTTATTTTTGACTCCCTCTAACAAAATATGACCAATTTAATTTTATGTCACATTTAAATAACCAGCTGCATCATTCCCAAAACCCACATATGAACCTGGAAAAACAATAATTCAAAATGAATATAATATGGATTAGATAATGCAGCCTCACACAGTACAGTTTAAGAGTCAGGAACTATGACATGTATTTCAAGACACACTTTCCTGATTCAAGACTGTTTACTGCAGCTAAATGGGAATGAAGAGCTGTACCATTCCAAATTAAAATAAAATGGTCTTCCTGGTGCAAGTATGATGAATATAAAACAATGAAATAATGAAATTATTTTCTTTAATACCAAGTTAATTAAAAATATGAAAATTTTTTAAAAAAATTTAAGACTGAGATGAGAAGAAATTTCTTTACTCAAGATAGTGGTGAGCTTGTGGATTTCATTACCACAGAAAGTGGTTGAGGTCAAAACATGGTGTGTTGTCAAGAAGCAGTAGATATAGCGCTTGTTGCTAAAGGGATCAAGGGATATGGAGGGAGGGTGGATTTGGATATACAGCTTACTTATCAGCCATGGTCATAATTAATGGCAGAATAGGCTTGAGGTGTCGAATGGCCTGCTCTTGCTTCTATGTTTCTATGTAAAAAGTTATACACTAATTTAGGAAATTCAGGCATACAGTACTGACAAGCAGTGTAGACTTGTTTGCCGAGTCGGTGTGTTTGGTTGCAGATGTTTCGTCACTGTGCTAAGTAATATCGTCAGTGCGCCGCCAGTGAAACGTTGGTGTTCTGTCACGCTTGTTATTTATATGCCTCAGCTTGCTGGGGTGGCTGGCATTACTTCCGGTTCTGTTTTTCAGTGGTTTGTATATTGGGTCCAGATCAATGTGTTTGTTGATGGATTTCCGGTTGGAATGTCACACCTCCAGGAACTCCCTGGCATGTCTCTGTTTGACTTGTGCTATTATGGATCTGTTGTCCCAGTCGAATTCGTGTCCTCCTTTGTGCGTATTGAGACCAGTGAGAATTGGTCGTGTCTATGTTAGTTTTATTGATTTGTGGGTATGGGATACTTTACACTCATCAGTAGCTGTCACAGGGTAGTTGTTGGTTTGTGGGCTACCTTGATACCTAGGGGTCTGAGTAGTCTTGTGGTCATCTCTGATATATCTCTGATGTACTTGGTGACTAGTGTGTCTGGCCATGTTGTGTCCTCTTGTTGTGGTCTGTTGCGGAGGTAATCTGTAAAGAACGTAAAGGATCCCATACCCACAACCAATAAAACTAACGTAATATACAAAATATCATGCGAGGACTGTGAAAAACATTACATAGGCCAAACTGGAAAAAAACTGACAATAGGGATACACAAACACCAACTAGCCACCAAGAGATATGACCAATTCTCACTGGTCTCAGCGAGAAATCTACAAGCTCATCCACAACCCGAGCTCCAAATCTTCTCAAAAATAGACTTTATGAACATATGTTAGAAACCCACTCCTAGTCATCTCCATCAATGTGAATGAACTGAGTGCAGCATTCCCTGCTAGTTGGGGGAGGGGAAGAGAGAGAGAGAGAGAGAGAGAGAGAGAGAGAGAGAGAGAGAGAGAGGAGATGAGGACACACTTGGGCAATTTCTTGCTTGCCAGTTATTGGGGCATGAGGTATCTGAACAGCGGATCATAAGTCCAAGCTCTCAGCAAGACAGATTGAGGGAATAGAATCTTATCCAGATAGCTCATAAAAATAGTTGCAAAGTTATCAGCAGTAACTGTAACTCTGACTGAGATCTACAAACTCTATACATAACAAATTTGGGCATTAAGTACATCAGCAATACAGACCAGCATTGCAATGGAAAATGTCACTAAGAAAGCAGAATGGCTCTAAATACTAGTTTAAAACTCATTTTCCCTCTTTGTTTATTTCTTAAAAGCTCTTCATGAATCTATGCTATTTCCCAACAGAGAAGACTGTGAACTAACATCATTCAATCACTGCTGTGCAACAGGTAGACTATATGTACTAGATATCTGTAGTTATCACGTTTTCCTTCCAAGAAGGTAACTTACTTATAAGTCATTTAGTATTATTAAGCTCCCTCTTCCTCCTCATGATTAAGATTAAGAACTTGTTAGTTTCCATTTCTTTATTGTTTCTACGACTGGAGAAACAGAGTTATAGGTCAATGTAGAGGTTAACAATCCATTCAATGGCTTTATCTGACATTGTGTGAGTGGCTGCGATGCCACCAAAAATGGATCTGTCTGTGTAATGTTCTACCACGGAAGGCCACATTCACAATTTGAACTGTTCTTCATGTTCCACACATGGAACAAGTGGCCACATCTTCCCTAGTTTACCCTTGAGAAGTTGAGACCTGTCAGTTACCAGATTGCACTTAAGTGATGTTTGTAGTGAACCCGGTGGTGTGCCATCAAGGGGTAGGGTTGTCATCAGTTTATAAGGTGTTGAATGTGTTCTAACATGTTCCAGATGGACGTATGGGTGATTTTGTTTTTCTGTTTTGAGGTCTTTTGTTTTTGGGAGTACTTTGCCAGCAGTCAAGCTGATGGTTCCTTTGAGGAAGATGCTTCCCCTGCTGACATGAGATTAAATGTGTGCTAACACAGGAAGCCATTCAAGCTGTGTTGGTCTCAGTATCCCAGAGTTAATCCTCATGACTTCCTGGAGGTGGATATCTACCATGTTTGTGCAGCAGCTCCTGAGCCAAGTTTAGCAGCAGTACTTTGCAGTTGGGTAGGTCAACACAAGTGAAACCATGTTTACAGTATTGGATTTGCTGCCTCCAGGTGACACCTACCAACTTCTGTATGAGACTCACACTTATTTTGGCCTTGGCTTCAGTGTTCTGGAGGTATTGACAGTAAGTCAATGTATGATGTAAATGTGTCCTGGCATTGAGTTAAAGGTGAATGGTCCACTTGGGCTTTGAAATGTTCTGGTGGAAGGCTGAATTGACAGTCTTGGCAAATCAATAGATCACAGAATCATAGATCATCAATCAGCATGTTCTCTAAATCCTGAGGTTTTTTAGCCTGGGAAGCCAGGACCAAATCATCAACAAATACAAATTTGTGGGAGGACAGTCCCTGATCCATGCAAGAACTGATCCTTTTGAGGGCCCTTGTTGGTTATGAATAGGCAGCTGAATTGATGTACGAGGTGAGAGGGAGACAGCACCCTTCATGTAGCCCTCCAACCTAAAAACCTGCAAACTAGAAGGCAATCAAATCCCAATCACTAGGATCTCAGTACAAGCAATAAAACCCACTGGAAAATGGATTCTCTCAGGAAAGCAAAGTCACTGCAAGCAAATCAAAGAGACAGCCTGGATGCAACACTCCATATCACAGGTTACAGTTGTCACAAAAAAAGTATCAGTGTACTGTGAACCACACAGATAATGTTACATAGGCAGATCATAAACAGTACACACACTGATTTTGTTATAAGATGTTATGCTCAGTGTTCTATGTAGAAATGATACTCAAGTCACTTACAGCATGGAAAACAAGAGACAGGGATTTGGTGAAGGCAAGCGCCCCCATCAGCCAATGGATCTTAAACACATCACTGCTAAAGAGAAAAGAATGCAAGTGGTAAATATGTTGATCATATTTCCCATTTTATTACACAATGTGATTATAAAGTCAAACCTCAATCTTTATATCTTCAGTTTGCCAGTATATCAGACTGTATGTTAGCAAGCAAGAACCAGCCAAATTCTGAATTAATTTACACATACTACTGACTACTTCAGATTTCTGACCTACAGCAGCCTCACATTTAAATACTAGTGGAAAAAATGCCCTTACCTTGGTCATGCATTTCACTTGCAACGGTTTTCATCCTTTTATTATTTATTCCCTACGTTCTTCTCCTGTCACAAAGATCCTAATTCCTTGCAAAATATGATTTGACTGGTACAAACTTCCTTCTAATACCTCAACCACTTTTCATTGGTGGATCCAGTGTGTTTTGTGTGTTATTCAAACAAGGGGCCATCAGAGCCAAGCCTAATCTAATCACAAGCACCAGGCTGCAGCAATCAAACGGTAGTAGCCAGCAATGAAAAATCCTGATTGAGCTTTCTTCTACTTCACTCAGAAAATATAGCATCGTTATTGGTAAGGCGGCAGAATATTCCACCCAAATTAGAACAAGGATCCAGTGTGAAAACTTGTGCTCTGTGTGGTTTAGCACAGAACCACAATGTATTTGTCCAACAAGCTGTCATGGAGCCATAAAGTATGTTTCATAATGTTAATGATATGCAGACCAAAAACATGGTACGCCAATTGAATGGAATTGTAGTATCTGAATTACAAAGATTGGTGAAATTTGTTTACACTTCTAGAATTAACTAAGGAAGTCAAATTCTGTTTTTATTGTGGGGGGCGGTATATTATGTTTTGAGATTATATTCCAGAACTCTATTCATATTTATATAAGAACTGCAAACTTTGATTATCACTTCAACAAGCAGAAACACGCCTCCTCTCCACCCTAGCAACACATTACAATCAACACCTACAGTGTGTAGGAAACCCTTGTACATTAAATAAATATCAAATAAGAGGCTTGGGTAAATTTCAAAACAGAATAACTTATTAAACATGCATAAAATCTCATAGGAAAGTTGAATCAGAAACGTTTTCCATAGCTGGTATCTATGAAATCATATAGCAGTAGATACTGCTCTGTAAAATTCACACGTATTCGCACATTGCAGTCTCTGAACCCAGGGTAAGAAGTACTTGCACAGTACCTGCGCTTCCGGAGGATATAAACCCAGAAAACTCCAGCCAGAAAGAAGAAGAAAGCCATACAAATGTAGAGTTTGGGGAGTGGGATCTCTCCTGCAGATAAATAACTGCCAGGATTCTGTTCCACTATTGTAATCTGAAAGAAAATCACACTGATTAGAAGTTACAGAGAGTAAATCATTTTTGTTTGCTTCTTCAAACGGAAATAATTTAAGACTTAATGAAGACAATTATGGAGAAACTCCATAACAATCTAAATTTCCAATGCCTAAGCTGGCCTTTCTAGTTCAAAAACTGCTGCAGCAATAAACTTCCCATTGAAGACTTGGTGAACCGAAGTCCTTCAATGAAACAAGCCCAAAAGAGATGCACTGCTGGCTTTGTAAATTTCCAGGCCTGATTTTATGGTCAGTCAGCAGTATTCCACTGACTGACTTTTAAACTACATACCTATCTTTCTTGTAAGCCACAGTGGGAACCTGCTCTCCTGAATGCAGCTTTGATCCATCAGAGAAGTGTGTAGGGAGGCTCAGTGACAAGATATAGTTCCTGATAACCACGACCCTTGTCGTCATAAACTGAAGAAACACTCTCAGAATCCTGTTTTCATCAAATGGCACACTCCATCTCCTATTTCTTCCATTCACTTCAAAATCCCTCAAGTGTTTTCCATGATTTTAAACTACTTATCTAATTTACTTCGAATTCTAGCTTCCCACCCCATTCTACGAAAACTGCTCTGCTCGTTATATCTCTGGCTTCTTCAACAGATAATTATACAACCTGTGATTCCTGCCATTTAATTAGCTGAAGGAAGAATTATCAGAATCAGAGTACAGGCAGACAACCAGAAAAGTTAATCAAATCTATTAGGATTGAGAAGTTGGATCTACAGGAGTGTTTTGACACACTGGCTGATTTAGTAATTTGCAATCTTTCAACAGTTTGCATATCTGTTGGGAGTAGCTCTAAATAAATTAGTATAAATATGTTTGGGGCAATCAGACCAAGTTCCTGACTGACAGGTCACATCATAAATCATCACCACGTGCTTACCGAGAGTCCTTTCCAGCAAAGTGCAACTTCTGGATCTGAGCGCAAATAGGCATTTGCCAGAAGATTTGCTCTCCATTTTCTAACTGACCTCACTCACCCCTTGTGAAACTGTGTGACTTGGCTACTCCGTTAATCACCATCAACTTAGATAAAGTGTAAAATCTCTGCAGACATCATTAAAACCATTACCCATTCTGCATTTAAGCCCCTTCCACCTTGTTCTTTATCACTGTTATATCTACGATTAACTGTTCTGTTTAAAAGGGAGCTGGATGAATTCCAAAGAATCAAGATAACTGTGGTCGCGGAAGGGGCTTTCAGGTGTGGTAGCTTTAATTATTGATATGAGGCTGTGGTCTCAGAGGACAAATAGGATTTCTCCCAAACAGATGAGGTTAACATCAATATAATGCACATTATCTTGTTGCTGAGGTGGATCTGTCTCTCTCCAAAACCATGAGGTCTAGCTGTTGTTAGGTTAATCAGACTTCAATTGTTCTGAGATGCTGCAACTTTACAGCACTATTCATTTTTAAATTTTGGTTCATTTACTGGTTCCTTTTGAAGAAAAAGACTGTACTGCACTTATAACAAAATATAACATCTGGTGAGTGATGAATGTTTATTGGATGCAATATTTTTAATCGGGCTTTCTTCAAAACTAGTTACTTACATTTTGTGTTGTATCCCATTTTTCTAGTGTTACACATCACAGATAAAATTTGATATTGCAGAAATCTAAGTGAAGACCAAATTCCCTCTAAGCTGCGCGGCCATGCAGTTGCTGGGAGGTTTCGTGCATGCTGACCCACTGGGTTCTACTTGCTGAAACTGCTGCCACACATGACCTTGGAGGTCTGCACAGCAGAAGAAGATATTACAGGGAACATTAGTAAAGGAAACAGGCACCAAAGTCCAAATGGTTGAAATAAGTGTTAATGACAGGGAAGGAAAACACACCCTGAACTCAACAATGCTGTTACAAACAAATAATGCCTTCTTATGCAAGAAACTGGGGGCTGCCATTGCTCTGGTTCCCAGCAGAAGAGTGACTGGAAATTTAATTGTCTGAATAGAAGTAAAAATGACGTGAAACTTAAAAGACATACATGTTAGAAATCTAATGGTAAAAAATACTGTTAAATCACAAGATAGTCAGCATTTAAAAGTTAAAATCAAGTTATCAGTTTTAGCAGGTTCCAACAGTTTACAGCATGCCAGGACTACAAATATTATTACTTGGAAATATAAATTCGGGGAATGGACACTTGGACACTATTGTGCTGCAGAGAATCAACACGTTTCTTTTGTAGCACTGAGAAAAAATTGAACTGGTGTTCACTTATTCATACATAGAAAAGAGGAGCAGTAGTAGGTCATTTGGCCCTTCAAGCCTGTTTTGCCATTCAATATAATCACGGCTGATCATTCAACTCAGTATCCTGCTCCTGCTTTCTCCCCATAGTTTTTGAGCTTTTTATATCTAACTTCTTCTTAAAAACATGCAATGTTTTGGCTTCACGGCTTTCTGTGGTAATTCCACTGGCTCATCACTTTATGGGTGAAGAAATGTCTCCTCATCTTAATCCTAAAAGGCCTACCCCATGTCCTTAGACAATTACCCTAGTTTTGGACTCTTAGGTTATCGGGAACATCCTTTCTGTGTTTAACCTCTGTAATCATGTTTGAACTTTATACATTTCTGTGAGATCCCCCCTTTATTCTTAACTCAAGTGAATACAGTCCTAATTGATCCATTCTCTCTTTATACATCAGTCCTGCTACCCTAGGAATCAGTCTGGTAAACCTTCACTGCACTCTCTCCATAGCTATAACATCCTTCCTCAGATAAGGAGACCAAAACTACACAATATTTCAGGTGTGATCTCACCTAGGCCCTGTACAACTGCAGCAAGACATGCCTGCATTACACAAAGTCACGCAACTTTTGCAGAAGCTGGATTCAATACTTTTGAGAGACACGTTGGTCGCAATGTCTTTGGCTCAAAAAAAGCCTAGCAACAACTTTTGAAGTCAAATTGCAATTTATCATAGTATTGAGGAAAGGCAGCAGTTGCAGTCAGACCTCCGAAAAGCCTGCAATCCAAGATAGCCCTCTCTGTTTCTCTGTCTTTGTGAGTGGAAAAGAAACAGCAAAGACTCTGAAAAGAAGAACTTCTATCTGAAGCAAAAACCTAGGTTCAATTGACCATCTATCACATGGAGGATCACTGTGGTCAACAATGTGACAAAAACCAAAAGAACTGTAAGAAAGTCAGCTAATCCACCCTTTAGCCACAGGATTTGTTCCTCTTTCTCATGCTTCTCCGGCTATGATGCTCCTGTAGAACTGTCTTGTCTGCTACACTTATGAATTAATGTGCATGTGTTGAGAGTTAAAGCTTGTATAGTTTAAGTTTGTACATTACTAATTAATAAGCTATTTTTCCACTTCGTAAAAGAAGTTTATTTATGATAAATACCTCTTGTTTTCCTGTACATTAATGAAAGCTGCTACTTCTTTTACCTTAGATATTGGGCAAAGTCAGGCAAGTTAACCATTTTAGTGTGTCACATGCTCATTTGTACATTTGTGGCGATTCATGAAAAAGTGTGGATTAAGTTCCAGCACACACTTACAATCGGGGCCTGAGAACCAGAAACATAAATCTTTTTCTCTAAGGTTCTCATCAACTTTCTGTACATTTCCAGAATTTTCCTGTTGCGTTTAATAAATTTAGTTTCAAATTCTCATTTAAAACTTTCACAATACTGAAAAAAAAATTAGTCTAAGCTACTGCCGATGATTTTCATCAATGTTTCCAATAGCTGCCTTGCTCCATATTGAATAACGATAACTTTCTTATACTCACATCCATGTCAAACTGAAAAGTCTGTGGAGACGGCTTTTCATCAGTATAGCAGTTATGGAAGTACAGACTGTAAAGTCCCTGTTCCTCCTCACTGTTAATGGTAAACGAGAACTGCAGGAAAGAAAAACATGTTGTTTGGACAATTTGCCAATCAGAATAAGTCAGTACATACAACATCTCACTCATGCAGTACCAATTCTTAAATCCTACTTACTGTGAATGAATAGGATAGATTTTTTTTCTGCAGTGGCAAAGTTTCATCCTGAAAGACAAAAAAGTTATTTTTGATGCTTTTCCTTCCATAATGACGATTGATTATCTTTACTCTGCCATGATCAGTCCCTTCTGGCACTTCCAGTACTCTGAAAGGAGTTTATTTTGCAGCAGTTGGTCCCCAATAGCTCAACGCAATTGCCTGAACCTGGACAGTGAGCATTAGTGCTCATATCAATCACTGTGCTGCCTCCTTCTCTGCCTACTCAATCGTTCAATGCTGTAGACAATCCATAACCATAAAGTCTGGGAAGTAATCTGCGTCTGCCTTTACAGTACTTAAAATAACTTAAGTTTGCCACCCCTTCCTTGTCTGAGTGGTGGTGTGTGTTAGAACTGTCAGGCAACTATGGCTCCTTGGCTGTACAGTTGTTCCAGAATATTCTCTAATTGGACACTGAATTTGGTTAGATATAATAACCTTCTACTTACCATTTCTTTAAAGGGAAATGATGTGTATTACATCATTTCAAAAGGAAAAGAACATCTTTAAAGAAAAAAAACTTTCATTTATAGAAAAAAAAATAATACAGCAAAAACTACAGTTAATTCACTAACCTTTCGTTCAGCAGAAATTCCAGATTTTGGTTTTGCTGTGAACGGAAAATAAATATTTCATTAGCATAAAATGCAAATGGTAAAGAACAGTTTCTATCAGTTTTTGTTTTTTTAAAAACAAAAGTCTTCATCCAGATTTTATGCCCAACCTTTTAAAAAAATTAGAAATTTGGTTTATAAAAAATCCCAAGCATAATACTCAATCCACAGGATATCCATTGCACCGTGCAGAATTAGGGCTGGGTTAATTCAGTGTTCCAAAAATTAAATATTTCATGAGGTCTTTTAATTATTAAATCAACAATGTAACTGGAAATGCTCATCAGCCAAATTTGCTATTAATTTCACCTTTCACTGCCAGTACACAAGGTTAACAGCAAGAATTACAAGAAGATAGCAAGAACTGCAGATGCTGGAGTCAAAGTCAACTCAGTGTGGAACTGGAGGAACACAGCTGGTCAGGCAGCATCAGAGGAGTAGGAAAATCAACATTTCGGGTCAGGACCCTTCTTCAGAACTTCGCGGCAGCGGTGGGGGTGGAAGGGAGCTGGGAAATAAATACAGGGAGGAGGGGTGGGGCTGGGGGAAGGAGGTGGGATGATGATAGGTGGATGCAGGTAGGGGGTGGTGGGGATGGATCAGTGGGAAGGGTGGGGCAGATAGGTGGGAGAAAAGATGGACAGTTTTTGTTAGGTCAAGGAGGCACGAGGGAGGATGGGTGGGCCTGGGGAAAGGTAGGTGGGGTGGTGATAGGTGGATGCAGGTAGGGAGTAGTAGGGATTGTTCAGTGGGAAGGGTAGGGCAGATAGGTGGGTAAGATGATGGACAGGTTGTGTCAGGTCAAGGAGGCGGGGTGACAGGGAGGTATGGACATGGGATGAGGCCAGAGGTGGGGAGATTTTAAAACTGGTAAATTCTAGGTTCAGGCCATCGGGCTGTGGGCTGAATAGAAGGTGTTGCTCCTCCAGTCTGCATGTGGTGTCATTGTAGCACTGGAGGAGGGCCAGGATGGACATGTCATCAAGGGATTGGGAGGGGGGAGTTAAATTTGTTGGCGACCGGAAGGTGCTGTCGATTATCACATTCAGAGCGCAGATGCTTCACGAAAATGGTCCCCGCTTCTGCGCTTGGTCTCACCGATGTAGAGAAGGCCACGTCGGGGGGGGTCAATGGATACAGTAGACCAGGTTGGAGGATGTACAGGTGAACCCCCGTTGGATATGGAAAGTTTGCTTTGGGCATTGGATGGAGATGAGGTGGGTGTCTAGAGGCAGGTGTAGCATTTCCTGCGGTTGCAGGGAAAGGTGCCGCTGTGGTGGGGTCAGTGGGGAATGTGGAGCAGACGAGCGAGTCACGGAGTGAGCGTTCCCTATGAAAGGCAGATAGGGATGGGGAGGGAAATCTCTCTTTGATCGTGGGGTCGGTGGCAGAAGTGGTGGGGGATGATACGCTGGATGTGGAGGTTGGTGGGGTGATACGCGAGGACCAGGAGGACTCTGTCTTTATTTTTGTTGAGAGAACGGGTTTGAGGGCAGATGTGCAGGAAATGCAAGAGATGCGGTTGAGGGCATTTATGATCACGGGGAAGGGTGGAGGAGAGTTGTGGTTCTTGAAATAGGAGGACATCTGGGATGTCCGGGACTGGAATGCTCCTTCCTCGGAGCAGATCGGCGGAGGAATTAGGAAAATGCGATTGCATTCTTGCAGGAGGATGGGTGAAAGGAGTTGTAGTCCAGGTAGCTATGGTGGGCTTGAAATAGATGTCAGTGATGAGGCGGTTACCAGAGATGGAGACAATCCAGGAAGGGGAGGGAGGTATCAGAAATGGTCCAGATTAATTTGAGGTTGGAGTGAAAGGTGTTAGTAAAGTTGATGAACTGTTCAAGCTCCTCATGGGAGCACGAGGCAGCGCCGATACAGGTGTCAATGAGACGGAGGAAGAGGTGACGAATGATGCAGGTGTAACAGCAGAAAAGGGGCTGTTCCATGTATCCTACAGAAAGGCAGGCACCAGAGATATTTATGGCTATTCTTCCATCTCTGTTTCCATGTTCCACTTTCAGTAGTGCACTACACATCAAAATGCATTGCACTTAAGTAACTGTGATCAGCTAAATCAATCATTGTATGAAAACCTGAACAGAAGTTCCACTCTTTAGTGGACTTCATTACTAATTAACTGGGTATACCCTGACAGAACAAGCGAAATATTGTCCTCAATGTCAATGTCAGAGGTGTGTTAAACCCAAGAACTAATCAAACTATCCCAAGCCTGAGACATAGTGCAGTTCTCAGCATGGAGTCAATGATGCCGATAGCCTTAAATGTGCCTATGTATTCTGCTTTTAAGAATTCTATGGTAAAATCAAAATGCAGATTACAACAAACCTTTAGCTCTGAAAATTACAACAATTATTTTTGGTAATGATTTCACTGAGCTTTCACAATCCATTGTGTGTCTAAGATATGAAGACTCAGGAAAAGAAAAGCTGATCTGGCCATACAAATTGCACTAATACAATGACGTTCAATATCATAGCTCCAAACATCCTAGTGCAAAACTTGCAGGGTCTTGAACCTTTTAACATTCCCCAACTTATATGCAGGGGATAAACAGGTGACTCTTGTCATTTCATTTTCAGACCTCCTCTCTGACTAATTAACAGAGAGTGCAGGAGCACATCTTGTGGGGAACAGGTTTGGGTGAGTGGTTGGAGGGTTGACAGGATTAATAACGTTTTTCTTGCCCATATGTACCAACTGTTGCCCGCATTTAACCACCATTGGAATAGCCAAAGTAAACACACACTCAAATTGCTTACCCATCTGCACTTGCTCAGACTGCTTTGTGGTTTCATTCTTTTTTTGGAGTTCTCCTGCTTTCTTAGACTCACTCTGTGATTTCACATCTGTCTTGCTGCTTTTGTCTTTGACTGGTTGGCTTGCTGCAGTTCTAAAATCTTCGATTGTAGGCTGATTGTTTCCCGATGTCAGAACTTTAACTCTGGGAATCAACAACAAGTGTTAGTGGAATACGAAGGAACAACCATCAGCTGAAGATTACAATGAGAATTTGTTTGACGTTTACTCACTGAAGTTTTCCAAAGTCAATCAGAAAAAGCGTAACAGGTACGTTATTTGGAGGCTTTTTCTTCAAGAAACAAAAATCAATATCCTCTTCCTGTTAAAATAAAATCACTGGAAGATAAAGAGCAGCTTTTGTATGGGTTCTTGAATGTGAATTATGACAGTTTTGATTAACTGCAAGCTTTGTTCTCTTTGCATTCAGACAGATGCTCCATCTGGAGGCCAGGTTATTACAGATTGAAATTCTTCATCTACATTTGCACTGAGTCTAACATGAGATTCATGCAGACGCCAAACATAAATCTGGTTGGGTTGTGTTGCTGATTGGAATGCTAACAACATTAATTAGATATTGAATGGTGGGAAGAAACTGAATCACAGACCATCACCTTAGAAAGGATGGGTAGGCTTCCAAGTTTGACATTGAAATGTTCACAAGGACATCATTAAAGATGGTCCTTCTGAGTCAAGGGTGAGACTTTATTGTCACTATAAGAGGTCATTAATATCTTTCTTTTTACAAATGGCAAGAGATATGATGAACTGATCACAAAATATTTTATTCAAAAGTGGTCTATTCAGAAGGTTGTGGCACATGAATCCAGCCTCTAGCTCCAAAACTTAAACCACTACCTTTGTGGTTAAAGGCAGTCTCTATATTGGTTTGGCCAATCGCAGTCATCACCACAGATGGGCTGCTGCAAGTGGTTTCAGCGATCCTGACTTAAGGGAACGGAACGTCCACTTGCGATTTCTATTACAGCTAAATATATACTGAATCCTGGTCAAGAGTACATCTGTGGACATCAAGGAAAAACAGCTTAAATGCGATGCCTCCAAAGTTCAGTTAGCTGCTCACACGGATCACATTGCAAAAACTACCATTATGGGCATGGCATGATGAAACTTTCCAAAAAACAAATAATGAATTGCAATCGTATGGCAAAAAAGCTAACTTACCAAATAGGATGAGAAGCCATCATTCTTGGTTCTGTCCAAACTAAGGCCCAGCTGAGATAAACATATAACATTGGAAAGAATTAGTGGGTTATTGTTAAAGAAAGAATATTTGCATTTATATAGTGACTTGGGCACCTTACAACATACCAAAATGCTTTGAGACCATAAATTACTTTTGAAACATTGACAATTGTCATTATGAAATGCTCATTTAACACATTGCAAGATTCTACAAAAAGCCAAACAGAACAATTGATTGATTCCACTCGATATGTTTTCATATAGGCTAAGGGATACATTTTGGCCAGGGTACTCAAAGAGCTCTTCAAATTCTTTTCTCAATAGGACTGCATTTTTTAAAAAAAAATCAAATATTCATCTAAGGCCTTAGCTGAATACCTCAAAGTTAAAAGGCTATCCAACATTAATGAAAATCAATTTAGACAATTCAGAATTCAGCAATATTGCAAGTACAGATTCATGTCCTTCCTTTTTGTTGTCACATCAGAAACATTCTATGCATAAAAAATCTTAAATGCAAAACTTTTCAGTTGGTTCGACAATGGTCAATTAATGGATATCTGGAGAAAGCATCTGAGTTAGGAAGTAAGAAAAACAGCTGGTATTCTCATGCATTGACAACAAGACTTGGTGGAAAATGCAGGTGCATGGAAATCAGATATAAGAACAGAATCAGAGATAACACAGTGTGGAGTTGGAGGAACACAGCAGGCAGGCAGCAGCAGAGGAGCAGGAAAGCTGATGTTTCGTGTTGGGTCCCTTCTTCAGAAATGGGAAGCAGGGTCCCGACCTGAAACGTCAACTTTCCTGCTCCTCTGATGCTGCCTGGCCTGCTGTGTTCCTCCAGCTCTACGCTATTTTATCTCTGACTCCAGCATCTGCAGTTCTTACTATCTCTGATAAGAACAGAGTCACTCTAGTTGTGAAATTGTCAATAGACGAACAGCTTGCTGACATTGATAATACAATGCCCATGCCACATGATTAGTTCCTGAAGCCAATTCTGTTTTTAGACTGAAGGATCCAACCTCAAGGAGAACAGATGAAATGTTTTATGGACACTAAGTTTCATTGAAAGGGGAACAATTGACAGTGATCTGTGATCTCCGAGATTAGCCATTGAGTATCCTGAAGACACTTAAAACATAAAGCCTGGCAGATACTGTCCTTGTTTTGAGAGACAGGTAACAACAAAGTCAATAATGTGAAAAGGCCAACAAGAACATCGCAACACCAAAGGAACAAATCAAAATCTACATAGAGGAAGGGAGATCTGCAATAAATACCAGCTATTTAACAGGGAATATTTTTCTTCTGCTCGTTATCTCAACATATTGACACTCCATGACGTGGACATAAGGCTAATAGACAATCTTAGAACATCCATTTAGCAAGGTCTAACATTCCCTCCATTGAACAATTAACAAGTTCTTAAATTATCTCCAGGTTTCTGCCTTCACAATGATTTGAAGTTAAATCCATATACTTATCGCCATGGACAGAACTTCTATACAATGGTAACTATCATTTTTACTGGTTTGAATCTCTGTCCACTTGTTCTGCTCTTACAGTTTAAAGTAACATTCCAGATGACATTTCTCAGTGTGTTTACTCCCATATATCTCTTTGTAGGATTACCCTGGAGATTCATGTCACCCCAGACTTTCTTTACAAATTTGATCTTTTACACCGTCAAACTTGCAGCTCTTTTCTGTTTGCAGCATTTGAATGTCTTATTTATGAGTCAGTGATTAGGACTGAGCACAATGATCAACGTGCAGTTTCAACGTGATTCTTCTGACATGGACATAGCATTTACTTGTCATGTAGTTCAACATTCTGTAAACCTTGTTGATTGACGGTCTGCATTAACAGGATACATTGGCTCCTAGATTCTCTTTTCAAATCCACTTAGTAACCTCAACAGCAATTAAGGAGCATATTGTGGGACAAGTTCCTCCCAAATGCATAATGCTTAACAGCATCTTAAAATCATCTGCAATTTTCAATGACAGTTATTCGGCAATTTCAAACTGCCTGCTTCAAATCTACTGTCCCTCTTAGTTGTCTGAAAATTTAACTACCTCCTACAGAGGTTCTGTATTCAAGTTACTGATGTACCTAAGGAACAGTGCACCAATTCCTTACTTACCACAGTACTCCTTTACTGCCTGACAAAACATCATCAAAAAGGTATTGTTTTCTACCATTAAGTTAATTTCGAAACCTTTCCAAGATTTTCCTGGGATCCTTGCAGCTTTTGAATTTAAACAATACCCTTTCAGGTAGAACTCTTGTCACTTAGCTTTGCCTAGTCTTAATACAGGTTTATTCAAAACCCAGTTGGGTGGTCACTACAAGACGTCTATTGATAATGTCAGGCTGGATAGTCTTCATTTGAATCTATGCTGATAGCTCCAGCAGATATTCAAATTTATCAAGATAAACTATTCTATTAGTATCACTTTAAATATTTGTGAAATAATTAGTTTAGGGTAGCAAGGCCAGAATTTACTGCCCAACCATAATTTGTCCCTGAAAACATGGCAACAAGCTCCCTTCTTGAATAGTTACAATTCATCTTCTTTATACAATATACAATTCATATAGCACTGCTATGATGTTGATTGAGGAAGGCCGAGTGTTAAGGTCTTTCCTGCTGAATACTTCTAAGAAATAATTTTTATGACAACGTTTTGACCCTGTAGTCATGGTATATTCTTTTCACTCCTCTGAATGCCTTACTAATGAAAGAATCATAGGATCTTAAGCTGATACAACAGAAGGGACCATTTAGTCCATTGTGCTTTCTTGGTTGAGCCATCCAATTAGTACCACTCTACTGCACTTCAGTTTTTTATATAGGCCTCTAATATTTTTCTTTTTATGTATTTATCTCATACTTTGGAATGTTACTGTTAAATTTGTTTCAATATTGCTTTCTGGGAGTACATCCCAATCACAAATTGCAGTATAAAAATTTATTTTCTTAATTTACCTCTGATTCTTTTGGTCCCATCTTAAATCTGTGTCTTCTACAAACTCACACTTCCATTCCTGGAAATTGTTTTTCCTTATTTAATCTTATTGAAACTATTATGAATTTGAACAGTTCTATCAAATTTGAACTCCCATATTCTTGGAACCATCCTGGTAAATATAGACTGTTATGTAGTTTGTGTTGCATAAATAGAAAATATAACTATTCCAGCTTAGGAATTTTGCAAGTCAATAAAGTATGGCGAGTCACTTTTGCAAACAATAATGATATCATTTAAATAAAAGCTAATACAAATATATTCCCAAAAGCATATTTGTTCCATAGTATCATTGCAATGTCTGGCTGCTGGTGACACAATGTTACATTAACAGTCTCACAGCGCTCTCTGGTGACACCGTATTAGTTTAGCAGTCTCACAGCACTTCCTGGTGACACTATTTTAATAATCTCACAGCACTACCTAGTAATACTATATTAGTTTAGCAGTCTCACAGCACTCTCTGGTGACGCCACCTAAGATTAGCAGAGTCAGAGTGCTCTCAGTGATATTACATTAGTATAGCAGAGTCAGGCCGTCCCCTGCTAACAGTCACTTTAGCAATTTCACAGCAGTCTCTGGTGGAACACAATCAAAGTAAACGCAAGTGTCACTATGTCAATATAGCAGACTCACAGCAGTCTCTGGTGACACTGCTGGTTTTCGACAGTCTCAAAAAGTGTGCGCTGATGGCAATGTCAATTTAGCAGTCTTTCATTGGTCTCCAGCGCCTAAAACTGTTTAGTGGTCACACAATGACCTCTGGCAATATTATCAATATAGTAGTATCTTAGTGTCCACTGGTGGTGACACTAAAAACAGAAAGTGCTGGAGAAAGTCAGCATGTCTCGCAGCATCTGCATTGAGAAAAACAGAGTTATCATTTGAAGTCCAGTGACCCTTTGTCAGAACTGAAAATCGCTGGATACTTACAATAATGGGGTAGGGGAGTGAGTACAGACATGGAGATGGTGGTCAGAAAGTGAGAAAAAAAAGGGGATAGATAAAGAAATTCTGATGATAAGCTAAGAGAGAGATGAATGCCGAGTTCTTGCTGAGACAGAAGTCTTACTAATTAGTTACATGGCTATGATATCATAAATTTGCATACAAAGGCTGAGTTCTGTGCTTACTAAATGTTATTGTATATTGTACACACAACTAGTTGATCACACTCGCTCCATTACACACAGAGAAGGCAAGGCAAGTACGTTTACATTGGAGCATCACAAGTCATGATGTCACATAAGTGTCTTAAAGGCATAGGCTTGTTTTATCGAAAATCTATGTCGTAATACTATTGGACCCTCCGGGATCTATATTGTGGATGATAAAATAGTGCATTTCACAGCAAAACCATCATAATACAGCATATTCCGAAGAAGCAACACTTTTTTTTTTAAGATTCACGATCAATTGGCAATAAGAAATTCAAAGGAGTCTATTACTGTTGATGTCTTGGTGCAATTCTAACAGTACAGAGATGTCAGAATTTCACACATCTTCTTAGTGTCAGTAGTAGGACAAAAGTACATACAGAAACACAGATAACAGCAGTAGGCCAATTGACCCTTTGAGCCTCCTCCACCATTCAATATGATTATGGCGAATCATCAAGCTCAATACTCTAATCTACCCCTCCCCCAATATCCATTGATCACATTAGCCACAAGATATATCTACCTCCTTTTTGAAAACATAATCACATAATGATTAACTTTGATGCACTGCACTATTAATGAAGCAACTATTCCATTTCCCTACATCAAAGCACAAAAGACACCAAGATCTGTTATAAGGAGAACATACATAGGGATAGTAGTGTATTACATAGAATAAAACAAACCTTATTGCAACTAAAATAATCTGTACTGAGGCACCACTTTCCTCTTCACAAACCTCTATTGCCCAATAATTATTATAACAAGAAAATGAAAAATACCTGATGAAAGATACTGAACTTACCGCAGAGGTGTCAACAGCTTTGAAATCAACTCCTTTTGATGTCAAATTGGTCATTTTCACAGTCATATTTCCATTCTTGAAAAAACCAAATGTGTTTAAACGGATCTTTTGCCTAACATCATCCTGCGGAAAGAAATAACCATGCTGTAATCAAAGGCAATATTTGCCGAGATTAGAAAACAAAATTCAAGACTTTTAAGAGGACAGGTCTAGTCCAATGAGTCTGTACTAGCTGTAGGAAAAAGCAGGTACTTAGTTTGTTCCATTAGCCCTTTCCCTTATTGTTAAACATGTTAGTTTTTAAAAATATTAATCCACTTCATTTTTAAAAGCTATTAGGGTTTCTTCTTCCAGTTGTTTGTTGGGCATTACACATCATAACATCTCTCAGTACAAAAAAAAAGCCTCATCTTCTTGTTTCAGAGATAGTAGGAACTGCAGATGCCGGAGAATCTGAGATAACAAGGTGTAGAGCTAGATGAACACAGCAGGCCAACCAGCATCAGAGGAGCAGGAAAGCTGAAGTTTCGGGCCTAGACCCTCTGATGCTGCTTGGCCTGCTGTGTTCATCCAGCTCTACACCTTGTTGCCTCAGATTCTTGTACCCAGTTGCCAACCACTGGAAATAGTTTTTCCCATTTTTTGAAAATCTCTCAATTTTGAATGCCAAGATAGGTCTCATCTAAATTTCCTTACTTTCAACAAAATAGTCTTACTTGCTCTAGTCCCTCCTTATAACTAAATTCATCCTTTCCATGTCTAACTTCCAGTCTTTATACATCTTCCTCAAGTAATGCGTTCAAAGCCAAGGCTATTCAATCTTGCATGGGTTTGGGATTTACCTTCACTTCTGTGATCTACATCACTATTTTCAAAACCTAGAATCTCACTTTTTTTTTAAAATACAGCTTAATCCACTTATCTGCCTAGTTTTAAAGACTTGCACATCTGAACTCACTTGCTCTCAGTAAATGTATTTGCATTTTATACATTCAGTGTAAATGTCCTTTTCTAGTTCTTCCTCGTAAAATACATTCACTCAGTAAATGGTTAAGATCTGGAATGCACTGCCTGAAAGCATCTGGACCCAGGTTCAATCGAGGCTTTCAAAACGAAATTAGGTTATTACCTAAAAAAAGGAAGAATGTGCAGCATTATAGAGAGGAGGTTGGGGGATGGCATTGGATGAATGTATTGATCGGAGAATTGGAGCAGATGCAACAGGCTAAGTGGCATGCTTCGGTGCTGTAACAATTCTTTGATGATGTGAATTCTACAGTAGAGACTTCAACTAATTAATCTGCCCTTTCTCCTGTGGAAAGTCAGACATCTTCATAATTAATGCTTCACAATTTTGTATTATGAATATAATATCTGGTCCCAACAATAACTCTGGGAAAACATCCTTCTCATCTCTCCGGCCCAAAAAATAACTATTAACAAATAGATTTTGTTTGCTATCTTCCATTCAACATTCTGCTGATAAGACCACATGCTCTTTAAAATTGTCACTATAGGTATAGGTAAGACGATGGGACTGTTCTCCCATGACAGAGAGATGATTGGTTTAACTTGAGGACCATCACCACACAACCGAGAAGTTGAGAAGGGCAGTTCTTCATAGTAACCTCAGCTGGTGTGAGAATTGAACCCATGCAGTTGGCACCAAGCTGCATTACAAACCAGCCATCCAGCTAACTGTGCTAACCAGCCCCCACTGTAGATTACTCAATTGTTGAACACCAAAAAGAAATGACCTAAAAAGCTGAGGTAATGAACAGCTCTGACATTTTTCAGTACGTCACTATTTTGTTTGAACACATTAATCCGTAATCAGTGGTTCAAAACACAGGTCTCATGACTTGACATGAAAACCGGTGGTTTCATTAAACTTTCACCAAGTACATTCATACATTCTCGATAACATGCCATTATCAAGATTCTACTTCTCGTTCACTACTTGCTTGAATGCATAGCTACAACATTGCAGCAACAACACTCTTATTGAGCAAGGCCAGAGCTCGAATTATGTTGTGTCAACATACAAGAAGGATGTATTTGCACTGGAAGTGGTGCAGAAGAGATTGACCAGGATGTTGCCTGGGTTGAAGCATGTTAGCTTTAGAAGAGAGGCTGGATAGGCTCAGATTGTTTTCTTTAAAGCACGGATGGCTTGGCGGGGACCTGATTGGGGTGTATAAGATTAAGAGAGGCATGCAGAGGGTAAAAAAGAAATAGCTGTTTCCCCCTAGTCGAAGGGTCAATAACAAGGTGACATAATGTTAAGGTGAAGGGTAGGTGGTTTAGGGGGAATTTAAGAAAAGGTTTTTCACCCAGAAGGTGGTGGGAAGTGGAATGCACTGCCTGGAGGATAGCAGTGGCCCCATAACCTTTAAAAAGGTGTGTAGATGAGTATTTGAAATGTCATAACATTGAAGGCTATGGGCTAAGTGCTGGAAAATGAGATTCGTGTAGATAGGTGACGGTGCAGACTCGATGGGCTGAAAGACCTATTCTGTACTGTATGATTCTATGACTCTAACATTTGCGCTTAGATGTTAGGAACAAAGGAATGACAGAAAATAAGGTTGAAGGAATGGAATCCTATCAGAGTACCTTCCCTCACTGCTCGAAGATCTCTCCCATTACTTTAACCGAAAAGTGGTGTTGTGATTCATGAAGGTATTTTGTAGATTGAAGTGTTCATCTGTGTCAGTTGTGACTACAGTAACTTATAAGATAAAGACTATTTTGCAAAGTACAGGGAGTGATGAAAGAAAGTTCATAATATATTATTTGGGAATGCAGGTTTTAAATGGTACATAAGAAATTAAGAAATGGAGCAGGAGTGGGCCTTTTGGTCCTTCAGGCCTACCTCGCCATTCAACAAGATCATGGCTGATCTGCCCCAGGCCTCAATTCCTTTCTCATGCCACCACCTCCTCATAGCCTTCAACTCAGAAACGTTCACCTTTTTCTCAACCAAGGATTACTGTGGTTGACAGGGCTCTTGGCTGTGTCCGATCCATTTTCCGCACTTCTGTTCTCATCCTTCTCTTCCCTCCAAACGCACGAATTGGCCTTCCCCCTCCACCCTCTCCTCCTCATCCCACCCCGGTCCTCAGTTTCCATCCCATCAGTGTCCAGAAGATCATGAGCTGCCATATCTGCTACCTCCAGTGGAATGCAACCAACAGGCACGTATTCGCTTCCCAATGAGACACACTGGTCCACACTCAAAACGTAGACTAGGCGACTGCTTTGCAGAATGCCTACATTCTGTACACAAAAATGACCCCAAGCTTCCAGTTGTCTCCAATTTCAACACACCACCAATGTTCCCTGGCCAGCATTTTTGTCTTGGACTCCAGTGAGTCTCAGCACGAGCTGGAAGAACAGCATCTCATTTTCTGCTTGGGGCCCCTGCAGCCTCAAGACTCAATATCATGCTCAATAACTTTAGAACTTTAACACCTTCTTCCACCCTTTACCCACCCCAGACAAGGACTGCTTTCAACCCAGTCAACTCATGTGATTGAAACTAACTAGCCAACAAGCCACCCAAGGAGTTAATTGCTGAGCTATTTGTGGACTTGAGTTTTTACAACCAGCAGAGAAGAAGCCAAAAGCAGGTTCATGCAATGGGAAGAGGAATAACAGAGGAGCTTTTATGAGCAGTCTTCAAGCAGTTAGGATTGGGGAGATTTCCTGAGTTGCGAAGAAGTCAGTGAGAAGAAAGTTTCAGAAACAGAAAACTTGTGCAGGATGTTAGAACGGAAGACGTTTGACAGAGCTGTTGAAGAATTTTGGGAACCCCTATTAAATCAGAGTGAGCATCAACTTGTTAAAAGGAAACAATTACAGCCGAGCAAGTAATTTTAGCATGGAGAAAGGGGATAACCTTCACTGAGGATAAAACATGTATGAGAGTATTGCTGAAATGAAAAGGATGAATCTTTACTTCTGATGCTTGTATTTAGATCATTCCAATCATTCTTGTTTAGTATTGTATACTTTGCATTGTTTTCCTTTGCTGTAATAAACTTTAATGTTCTTTGGTACTTGACAGTAGTCGCCTCTTGTGCAGTAGCTAACCTTTACAATAAAGAAAAAGAGAAATAAAAAACTCAGTTTATCAAGACAGGCTTCACTCTGGGATCTGACTTGTCTAGCACTACCATCAGCTGGGATCATAACAGAGAGCAACTGGGAGGGATGATGAATATACAAGTTCTTGGTTGAGAAAGAAATAACTCACAAGATATGTCGCAGTCTGATGACAGACATGAAATTTCTATATTATTCTGGCTAAACTGGAACAAAATCAGATGGACAAATATCTGGTGAAAGCAATTAAAGTTGTCCAGCTTGTGAAGTACTTGTGGTTACAAATCTTTAGAAGTTGCATGACATAACCAAGATCAGAGCACAACATCCATAATGTATATCAGCTAAAGTTCCATTTTTTGCCAAAAGCATCTGGTAAACTGACTGCACTTGAGGACATTTATTAATTTGCAAACCCAAAGTACTTCATGAACAAAGCTGAAAACTGTAAAATGTAAGATTGAGTAAAATGGAAAATACCGAACAGTCTGGGGATTGTCTGAGAAAAGGAAAAAGAGAGGGATAAGGAGCTCCATAATTCAGAATTTCTGAAAATAAACATGTTGAAGTAGGAGACCTAGGTGAACCTTGAATTTTACATGCAGTTGTTTAATGGCTTTGAGTTTTCATATACAGATGGAATTTCCCTTTGTAGTCAACAAGGGAAATTTATACAAACAAAATGAATCAGAGAAGTAGGCCACTCAGCCTCTCAAGCCTGCTCTGTGATTCACTAAAATCATGGTTGATCCAAGAACTCCACATTTCTGCCAGTACCCAAAAACTTTTCATCCTATCTATCTACTTCTGCCTTATAATATTCATGGACGCAGCTTCCACCAAGTGTTGAAGATGAGAATTTCAAGGACTCATGACACTCAGGAGAAAACAAATCTTCTTGCCTGTTCTGTTTGGACAACCCCTGATTTTTAAACAGTGACTCCAGTTCTAGAGTCTCCCACAAGAGGATACATCCTCTCCAAATCCATCTCCAGTCAGAATTTTTCTTATATGTT